ACAAAACAAAAAGTCCAAAAAGAAATTAAAAAGGAAAAGCATTGTCAATCAGGGGTTAGGATATAAGGCAATTGCATTGATAATATCAGTAATTTATCCAGTGGCATAGAATTGAAAGTACTAATGGTGAGCTGCAATCCATGAGGTGTTGCTTTATACAGATTGATTTCTTCATTGCACTTGGCTCACATCGAACATGGGGTTTGGTGCTAGGGGGAAAGTTCCTGCATCATCTCTTGCAAGGGCAGACCCTTGCCTCTCAGACCCAAACCTGTCATAGTCATGCAAGGGGAGCATTGAGGCACGAAACACATGGTGGCTCTGGGTCTCCTTTCGTTGGACACCCACTACGCCACACATCCCACCCAAGGTCCAACAATTGCCATTTCCACAGTATAGACCTGTCCATCCCTTGCATTCTCTCCCCTCAGGGTATTTCAGTCCTAAGGCCAAGGGTATAGAGAAGACAAGTATTTAAGACCTCAGTTATTCTTTCTCTTATCTGGTCACCATCTAGTTTCTTCACTATACTTTGCGATATAGCACCCTTATCTTCAGTGATCGCTTCCTAAGGCCCAGCATCTAACAGGGCCATGTCATAAGAATTAATTTTTCTTAGACTGGGGTTAGAATTCAGTGCAAATCCAAAACCCATTCATCTATCTAAGGCATATAAGTCTCTGGTTCACCTTAGAAACATGATTGCTAATTCTATTCATCTTTACCAGAGCAGACAACCGCATTTTCTCCCACAGAGAGAACCCCCAGTTTGGTGGGTTCAAACTGCCAGTCACTCATTTAGCAGCTGAATGCTAAACTACTGTCTTAGCAAGGCTCCTATAAAGGAAATGCACTAAGAGCAAAGGAAGACTGTGTGTGTGTGTTCCACACTGTCTATTTAAATTTGTAAAAATATAGACTATCCATAAAAATATATTTCATATGTTCAACTTGTATGTGATAGCTATTTGTCTAAGAAACTTCACACTATGAAAAAGATATTTTATAAAACAGTACCCTCTTTAGGAATGAGGGTTTCAGGGCTAGCATGCTTCTGATGTACATTCTTATCACCTTTTCAATTGGCAAGTAAACCTTTATGCTTTGTGCTACGTAGTCTTAGAGCAGAAAATCAGCATCTACTGCAGCACAGTTCAAGATCATGATATGGACACAAAAAGCTCATCAGAATCGAGTGCAAGCCATCAGACCAGCAGCTGTGGGTCCCGCTGTGGGTCCCGCTGTGGGACCAGCATTGTCTGCATATGTGCTGGTTTGATATGCCACGTGTAAGGCGTAACCTACAATAGTGCATAAAGCACCAGATGTCATGGGGCCCATCTTGATTCATCGACTCACTGCCACTGAGTTGATGCCGACTCCCAGGGACCTGAGAGGACACGGTAGAACTGCCCCTGTGGGTCTCCGAGCCTTTAACTCTTCTCAGGAGTAGAAAAGCTCGTCTTTCTCACACAGAGAAGCTGGTGGTTTTGAACTGCTGACCGTGCAGTTGGCAGCCCCATGTGTAACCACTATGCCACCAACCCTAATTGATCAAATGCACCCTTTCCAAAGACTTCAGGCGTAGACATAAGTATACAATATGGAGAAATAGACCAGATGGTCAACATTCTTACTGTAAATGATTGAGCTCTCAGAGAACGTTATTTCAGAGGTATCTCCATTTTATGTGGCGCATGTATGACAATGAGGGTGCAGGGCAGACTAGCAAGCTTCCTGGAACAGGAAGAAGGGAAGGAAAGCCTGTTTGTTGATTTACCTCCTATCAGGTAAGCCAAAGAGGCTTCCTTTGGGAGTAGCATCTTCCGCCAAGTTCCCGTGTGTGATGTGCTTCGTAATTACGCACGTGGGGCCCAGTGCGACCACCTCTGCTGGTGTCGTCAAACCAGGGAGCATCTCCGTGTTCCCTTCCTCACTTAGAACCATGCGGCTGATGCCCTGCCCCTGTCCGGGCTGCTGCAGTGCCTTCCTGCCTCCAGTTCTCTCTCACCCTTGCTCGGGCTCTCACCTGATGAATCTTCCAGAAGCTCGACTCAGGTCATGCCGCATCCTTGGCCCCCCAGGGTCTGCCTAAAAGACGACTGTGACCCTTTTCCTCTCTGGAGACCATGACTATACAACGCATGCATCCGCACGAGCTCCTCATGGGCTCCTTAAAATGCCGTGCCTGTGCTCCGTGCTGCGCCTTCCAGACATCAGCACGGCCCTCTTCTGTCACTCCTGCTTAGCGCCTTCCAGCCTGGCTTTTGTGGCTTTGTGTTTCACGTGTTTAGGCTCCTCTGCACGCTAACTTGTTGAGGTTCAGGAACCGTGGATCTTTCCACTTGTATATTCACCGGTGCCAAGCCAAGGGCCTTTTGTATAGCAGGTGCTCAATAAATGCGTACTGAATCGAATTAAATCAATACCTCTAGGAACATCTTGACAAATCTAATTAGAGGGAATTATAGTTCTAAACCTGCTGCCTAATTACAGTAAATTTCCGGTAATTTTCCTCTAATCAATGGAGGGTTTTTGCCTTTTGGTTTTTGTTTTGCTTTGTTTCCATTTTTATTGGATTTTGAACTAATTTTTCTTACTCGGTCTCTGTGTTGGAAAAATAGCAAAGGACTATTTTCACTGTAAAACACTGTGGGGCCCTGGTGGGATAGTGGTTAAACGTGTGACTGCTAACTGAAAGGTCGGCAGTTCAAACTCACCAGCTGCTTTGTAGGAGAAAGATGTGGCAGTTTGCTTTCTAAAAGACTGCAGCCTTGAAATCCCTACGGGCCAGCCCTCCTCTGTCCATGAGGGTCACTGTGAGTTACAAGGGGCTTGGTGGTAATAGCTTTGGTTTCGAGGCTTTGTTGATGTTTAATCATTTTAATCATTGCCTGTCTTTATTGTTCTATGATGAGCAGATTTAATATCTGAGAACAGCTTTAGATTTTTAGAAAAATTGAGTAGGTCATATAGATATAACCATGCACCTTATCTGTTTTGAACATCTTACATTATTGTGGTCCATTCATTGTAATGAATGAACTAATAGGATTATGTTATTGATTTGGTTTGGTTTTATTAATCATTTTCTTTGGGAGCAGGCTCTTACAAATCTTATAACGATCCATCATTCAATTGTATTAAGCACACTTGTACAAATGTTGCCATCAATATTTCCGAAACATTTTCTTTCTACTTGAGCCCTTGGTGTCAGCTCCTGAGTACGTTATTGTTCACCTGGGTCCATAACTTACTCACATTTTCTGATTTTTTAACCTAGTGGCCTCTTTGGGTCCAGATTTCCATCTAGGAAACCACATGGCATGTTGGTGCCATATCTTCCTAGGTTTCCGTAGTTGCTCCACTGTTGTGGCATCCAGAATTATAATGCGCCACATAAGGCTGGAAGGGTCATATTAATTGCATATAAATCAAACAAACCATCACAATGTACTTCCAAAGCCTTGCCTTCACCTCCAACATATACTCTGCTGTACTCCTCTCTTCTCATCAGCCCCTGGCAACCGCTGCTCCGTTTTCTGTCTCTGTGTGTGGGCCTGATATAGATATTCCATAGAAGTGGAATCAGATAACACTTCTTCTTTTGTGTCTGACTTATTGCATTTGACATGATGTCTTCAAGGTCCATCCACACTGTGGCGAGTATCAGCATTTCACTGTTTTATGGCTGAATCATACCTGCATTGCATGTGTATTTCACATTGTGTTAGTCCATGCATCTGTGGGTGCTCTTGTGGTCCGTTCACCTTTGAACTCTTGTAAATAATGGTATGTGCATGCATCTGCTGGTTGCAGCTTGCATTCCTTTTAGCTGTCTGCCTAGGAGTGAGATTCCTGGGTTCCATAGTAATTCTGTGCTGAACTTTTGGAAGAATTTCCAACTGTTTGTCATAACAAATAATACACCATTTTACATTCTCGCGGCAATACCCGAGGTTCCCGTTATATCTTAAATACGAGGGCAAAAAAACAAACAAACTGGAAGTAAACAGCCCACAGGGTGGGGGCATTGATAGACAGCTGCTCTTTAGTCAACTGCAGCGCAGGGTGACCCTCCCTCTAATGGAACGGGCACGTAGCCCTGTCCTGCATCAGCCTCAGGACGGCAGGCCCCTGTGCCGCCGTTCTTGTGGGCATGGTGCCGGTTCTCCTACTGAAGGTCTCCTCGCCTCGCTGGCCCTCTGCTTCACCAAACACGATGGCCTCCTCCAGCAATCTGTCCCTTACTGGAAGCCCAGAGCGAGCAAGTCAGACAGGGTTCTGTTGTGATCCATAAAGTGTCTCACTGGCCAGTTTTTGGAAATAGGTCCCCAGGCCTTTCTTCCTAGTTTTTTTAGGGGGGGCCGGTCTGAAACCAAAGCCTCACTGCCATCAAGTCAATGCCAACTCCTAGCGACCCTTTAGGACAGAGTAGAACAGCCCTGTAAGTTCCCGAGACGGGTGGCTTCAAATTGCTGACCTTTTGGATCGCAGCCCCACGCATAACCACCACGCTGCCAGGGCTGCTTTTGCTAGTCTGCAAGCTTCTCTAACACTAGTTCCCCAAGGGTGACCCCGCTATTGTTTGAAATGCCAGTGGCATAGCTTTTGACACCACAGCAACACTCCATCCACCATTGGGGCCCCTGCCCAACCCAAATCCACTCCATCCATCAAGACAGCAGAGTACCTAGACTCACAAGAGCCTCCTGTGCAGCACAGCAAAACAGCAGCCAGCCCCGTGTCATCCCCACCACTGAGTCCGGCGGGTCGGCAATTGGGCCCGTCTACCTATCCTCGGGAACCGTTGCTCAGGGGGAGTTGTGCCTGTGCTGCTGGTCGTGGAATCACCTGGAAACACAGAGTGATGACATTGCCCAGCATGGTGACTATTACGAACATTATCAACATCTGTGAATTGCACATATGAAAAATGTTGAACTGGCAAATGTTTTGTTCTGTATGTTTTTACCAATACACACAATTACTATGCACAGGAGATTGGTATTTCTGGAAGGTACATCACCAAGAATATTCTTTCTTCTGATCTCAGACCCACAGGAGCCCCTGGGAGCAATGAGCAGTACAGTGTGGGGATGGTGGGGACGCACGGGCTGGAGGCCACCCACACCGACTCCTTCAGCAGCAGCATTTCCAGAGAGGGAACCCTGATGATCAGAGAGGTGAGTCGCTCTAAAATCTGTGCAGAGGAAGAGCGTTGCTTCAGCGGCTTTTACTGAGCACCTGCCCAGAGGATGCTTGTGGCTTGTATTGTGAGCCTGGGGAAGGAGGAGAGGAAGCTGTGCCTCCACATGGAGGTGTGGCTTTCATCATGAGCCTTCTTTCCAGCCTCCTTCTTAAGCTTTTGCAGAGTGACTTTATTCTACTAGTGTCAATTCTTCCTTCTGGGGTATGCAATTCGGAACGCAGAGTCTGGGCCTGAGGCTGTACACTGGCAAGCCCAGATGTTAACTGCAACAGGAAAGGCAAAATGAGTGGTCTCTGGATAGCGCCCGTGGCCTCGTTCCGCCTCCTCCCCACTCCACCCCCATGGTTTTATCGCTCGGTAGTTTATTTAGAAAATGCCCGGTAGTTCCAAGATGTGGTCATATCATGTAATGAAATCATTCAACCCTTTGGGGTAGAAGGACAAAGAAATCTACAGATCTGCTTTAAAATGTACTCTAGTCCATCAGAGGATTCTGCTTACGAGTGCTTGGGAACATCACTTGGTTGGAAGGACCACGTGCTCCCTTCCACCTGCTCCTTTGGGTGGTACCTCCCCACTGTACCTGCTAAACAGGGTGGCCCCAACACATTACAGGCTTAGCTTTTCTCCTTTCTCATGTCTCCGGCTCTGGGCAGCTCTTCACGTGTGAGGAAAGTCATGACCCAATGCTGCCTGCCTCTGCCTTGCATCGTTTTCTCAGCTCTAGAATTTCATGAGTAACAATGTATAAGACATGGGCTGGTTGGGAGGGATAAATGGAACCATGGTGACTGTTTTTCTTTATCCCCCCCCCCTCTCTCCAAAGAGTTGATTTCTCCTTTGACTAGTATTCCCTCTGAAGCACACATCACCTGCCGCTCTCGTTCCGCAGCCGGGGCAGGGGGTCGGAAACCCGGCAGGCCTTGCCATCCCAGGGGAGGGCCGGGGACACCTCACTTTTGTTAAGGAAGAAAGGAACGCAGTTTGGAAATGAATAAAGCCTTTTATAATAGGCTGTGGGGCTCGGACGGGAAGACGGGTTGGCAGAGCCCCTCACTAGATGTTAATTTGTGTCCTTACAGAATCTTTCAAGTACACTGTAAGGAGGCCATTCAGGGATGCTCCCATGAAAAATGCACTTGGCTGTAGACGCTGACAATGCACAGCACCGGTGTCTAATGCTCCCACTGTGGTGGATGGACCGTTTCAAAGCCAAGTGTGGAGGGCTACTCTCACTACCGCCTGCCACCTGGGGAAACAGGAGGGAGAGGCTTTTGGAGAGAGTTGCTTTCTGGCTCCAAATAAAAGGCTTCCAGGGGCCTGTGGGATTTAACATTTCCTTGAGCTTTTGTAACGTGGAGTCAGTCGCTGGAGGCAGATTTGGATCCACATGTTCGGTCCTCGTGCTTGCCATCTCTCAATGGCACAGAGGATATAAAACGCTCAAATAATGTGTGACCACTCCAGTCACACTGGAAGTTGCATTCACCAGTGTCTCAGATGAATTTGATTGGTTGAAGGACCAAAAACAAGCCACAAATTCTGTTTCTTTTGTCCTCTTGAGTTCCAAATTCTGCCTTCCCAAATGTGGGCTTAAAAAAAAAAATCTTCAGTTGAAATCCGTGAACACCACATGCTTCTATAAAGAGAAATGTAAGATAAAGTATCTTCCTAAAAAACCTCAAACCCGCTGCCTTCAAGTCCATCTGACCCATAGCAACCCTACAGGATAGGGTGGAGCTGCCCCTGTGAGTTTCTGAGACTGTAACTCATTGCAGAAGTAGACAGCCTCGTCTTTCTCCCTCTGAACAACCAGTGGTTTCAAACTGCTATCCCTGCGGTTATCAGCCCAGACCATAACCCACTGTGTAACCCGGGCTCCTGAGTAACAAAGACTTGTAACAGGGCAGTTCTCCAAGGTGACCGTCAAGGAGGACTCTCTGGACTGGTTGTTCTTGTGTGCATAAAACAGTCAGTTCTATCAGCACCGACCGGGTCTATTTATGACCCATGATCTTGTACATGGTACTTACTGCTGCCAAGGCGCTTCCAACTCACAGTGACCCCAAATGTTGTTGTGAGCTTTCAGAAACCGATTGCCAGGCCAGTCTCCAAGGTGCTTCTGGGTGGGTTCGAACCACTGCTCTTTGGGCTAGTAGTCGAGTACTTACCTGGTTGCACCACCCAGGGAATTTGTGGTGGGTGCATGGTAGCCACTCAAATGTGCCCTTGGAGTGCGTCCCCTCTGCACCTGTGCTTCCCCACAGGGACCCTTCCTTGCTGTCGTTTCAGAACACCACACCAGCTCTCATCTGCCACTGTGTGCATGGAACCTGTCGGCTAGAAGAGATATCTTCCCTTCCCTACTACCTGCCCATTCTTCACCTAGCAGACCCATGTGGGTCCAGCTCAGCCTTCTCTTCATTCCGGAAGGCTTCACTGGGACTCCACCAGTCTTTGTCCTTAGCACCCTCCTCCCAGACGATCCGGCATCTATGCAGTGTCTGACCCCCTGAGCCTGAGCCAGAGTTCTAACCGTCATCATGCAGCCCTGTGGGTTATAGATAATGAGTGGGAGGAGGAGAAAGGGACATTTAATTATTTTTGTCTTTTTTAAGTTAAGAGGGAAGGGCATGGAAGTTAAGGCTTGGAAATGTTTCATGGCAGGAACTCAGTGAATCGGGCCCCCTGCAGGACTGGAACAAGCTGAAGCGTGACCGGTGCTCACGCAGCTTCTCTGGATGTGTAGCTGCCGTTCCCTGCCTTCCTCCGAGTTTCTCCTTTGTTCTTCCCTCTTTCTGAGGACAAGCTTTCTCTTCCTGTGCACGCACGTGCTCTTGGGCCCCGCAGTAGTGGCTGAAGCATCAGCAGCCCAAGGCGGACTGCTCTGAGGCAGGGGTCAGACGTCCCTCTGCCTCCCAACCTTTCGGCCAATTCTGACACCATCTGTCCCTCCCAGGGCACTCTCGACATCCCTGCTGGGGCCAGTCATTCATGGCAGTGGCCCCAGAGAAGACACAGACCGTACTCACAGCCGTGGGGTTTATGAGCGAAATAACAGAGACAATTCAGGTTTACGAAGGCTCAGAATACGGTTGTCCAATCAGGACCGTTTCTTCTCAGCCACGCCCATTGAGCCTGGCCCCTGGTCTGAGCCCACCCTGCTTAGGCACCTGTTACAAAGCTCTTTTAACTCTGCTGATAGAGCCTCTGAGGCACCCCACTCCACCAGCAAGCCTCCTGGCCAAAGGAACTCTGTTTTTTTGCCATGTGAGCCAAGAGCTCACCTAACTGTCTCTATGTTGGCCTTCTGGCTATGCTGCCCCCGTTTCTCTACCGCTCCTTCCCCCTGGCTCCGAGGCCACTACCCTCTCTCTTCTGGGTCAGGGGGGTTCTACGTAGGGATCTCGGGTCCATAGGATGTGCTCGACTCCCGCTTCTTCTTTCTTAATGATAATGCGATGCTGTTTTCTGCCTCCGGAAAGGATCATTAGAAGCCAAGTAGGATGGCAAGATTAATCAATCAACTTATTAAGGTTCCCTACACTTTATTTGTGTGATATCACCCCCACAAGGATGCCATGTGCCTTATTTACATAATTAGCAAGCTACCAAGTTCTCTCAGAGGACCACAGGCACCTCAGATTTTGCACAGTGCGACACAGTCATTCGGTGGGAGTTACAGAAACTATGGCTAGAAGGGCTGTTCCCAGTCATTCACTGCACCACAGGTGCCCTCCTCTCATCCCTGTCCATCTGCTTGGCACCAGCAGACTGGGTGCGCTTAGTCCCATGCAGTTCCAGTGGGAATCTGATGCCCCGTGCCTCAGAGAGTCCAGTCAACTGTGGCTAGAGAAGTAAAAGTACCCATGGTAAACAGGGCAGCCCAGAGCCCCTGGGACCGGATGCCCAACAGTCTAGGCTCCAATCCTGACGCCCAAGAAATTCCTCCAAGTTAGATTCTTTGGCTGGCTGATTTTTCATCTGTCGGATGGACACCTTGGAGCTCTTCCGTGGTGAGATGGTGAGGATTCGACGAGGTGACATCTATAAGGTGCTGAGAAGAGTGTTGAAATGCTTTTAGTGCCCATTCCAGGAGGATGTTGAAGAATCTGAAGATTACAGAAATTCTTGGAGGTCTTTTTTTTTTTTGGTCAAGATCTTTTATTTCCTGATTTTATTTATTTACCTATATACTTGAGTATAAGCTGACCCAAATATCAGCCGAGACACCTAATTTTACCACAAAAAGAGCATTTTAAAAATGTGCTGATAAACTTGGCTTCTACACGGGTCTATGTGGTATTTATTTTTATTTCCTGATTGTCAAAATTGCCACCATCGTGGACCTCCCCCTGTCTTCTGGTGCCTTTGTCCCAGTGGCTCGTGGCAGTAGCTCCACTGAGCTCCTGTCTTTCTTAACCTTGCTGGCCCTTTTTGTGCCCACCCTGCAGCATGAGTTTGACAAGTGTGTTAGTCCTGGTAGACTAGAGAAACAAATTCATAGACACTCACATGTGTATAAGAAAGAGCTTTATATACAAGAACAATTGAATACTGAGAAAACATACCAAGCCAGTCCAAATCAAGTCCATAAGTCCAATATTAGCCCTTATGCCCAATACCAATCTATAAATTCCTCGTCAGACTCATGCAACACAGACAATGATGCTTAATGCAGAAAGATCACAGGCCAGTGGGTGGGAAGTCTTGTGGATCCAGTGGTGTAGAGGCATCTCAAATTTGGCAGGGGTCTTCATGTGGCTCCTCCAGCTCCAGGGCTCTAGCATAGCTCCATGTGTTTGGTCAACGGAAATGTCTCACAGGGAGTGAGCTTATATCTCACCTCCAGCCAGCTATTTACCTATCTCTTTAGCACCTCCAAATGAGGTCATCAAGCTGTGACCTGATGGACAGACTAAACTCCACCCTTTCACTCAAATCTCAAATTGACAACAGATTATGTAACTACCACAGCAAGTTAGTTAGCTTTGTCCCTCTAACCCGTGGGAGCAGATAGTCGACTCTTCTGGCAGGTGATGAGTTCTTCATTAGCCAGTGTAAGAAACCCAGCCCACCACTCACTAGTTCAGCTTGCTCTTGACTTTTGTGGTCTTGGCATCCAGTCTGCTCTGGCTGTAAATGAGATGCTTCCCAGAATCGAGCACAAGGACACTGGGCAACACCAGCCACAGGGCATTCCTGAGAATAAAAGTAAAACCAGCAGTTAAGTGGGTGACCTGGCTCCCCATGCTGGAACCCGCCGCGGTGCTCTGACAGGAAATACAGTCCATCCCAGTATATCTGGCCCACAGGAATCACAAGCTGGAGGATCAAGCGGATGGGTGACTGGCGGAGAAAGGCAATTACCACCCACAGGCTGAGTGGTCCCCACATCCATGCTACAATGGTTTCCATGCATGCTATGAAGTTGTCACCCAGAATATACTGACTGTCCCCTTCGACATACTCTTTCCAGAGTTGGGATAAGAAGGCTTGGTCTCCAAGGAGGACCAGCCCTCCATCACCATGGGAACGAGCCGGCACACTGCAAACCAGCACAGGGACAGCCAGCTCCAAGTCCTCTTTGGGAGGACTGCTGATCCACTGGACAACAGCCACGTGGTCGCGACCAAGACCGCAGATGCTAAGATCAGGCCAGCCAGGAGAGACCAAGTAGAATGGTCATTGGGCACCAAGTTGTCCAGCGTAGGTGTCGAGGCCAGCACGGGTGCATGCGGCTGACAGTGGTCATGGCCGTGTGGAGTGCAATAGAGAGAGGAAAAACAGGAACAGAAAAACCTGGCAGCACTGTTTGGGGCTTTTTCTCCCTCGGGCACCTGGGTCTCGGAGGTCTTTTAAGGAGTGTCCTACAGAGCCTGGGGCTCCTGTTTCTTTATCTCTGGTTCTTAGCAGAATGCCTTCACCACCGAACCAAACAAGAAACAGAACAACACCCACTGCTGGTCATGGATTCTGGCGCCCAGAGGTCCTGTAGGACAGAGTAGAGCGACTGCATCGCGTTCCCATGGATTGGCTGAGGGTTTTCACCACTAGCCCTCCGGCTAGTGGCTCAAGAGTTAAGCCTGGCACACAGAAGGTGGCTAGTCAGAAGGCATGGGTTGAATGAACAAAAGCGGGTAGACGGAGGGTCATTGCAGGCTTCCTTCCGGCTTCCTCTAGCTGGGTCCTCACCCCTCATCAGCCTCTTCATCATCCTCCTTTATAAGCTCTGCCTTCGGGGATCCGTGCTGGGCATGCAGCAGTCTGCTACCGATACAAGAGGATCACCTTGCCAAATCTTAAAGAGGCGATGTGTGATTTATGCTGCTGGGAAGCTGAGGGGCAATCTAAAAGCCTTTTCAGTATTTGAACACAAGTTGGAAGAAAGGAGACGCTGCCAGTACACATACAATGGGGGCTAGCAAGGTAAATTAACCCTGAGTCCCTCCACGTGAATTTAGAGGATAAAATGTCAGACTCGGAGAGTGGGCACCGATGAGCAAGGCGCCCCCACAGAGGACACCAAGGCTGTGCTGTTCTTTCTCAAGTCATGTCAATTACCCCCACCCCACCCCAAAAAAACCCACCCTCAGAAGTATGAGAGCCCGTTAGCTCTCTCAAGACCCTCCACTCACTTCCGGCCCAAGACAGGTACATGGCTGGCATAGCAAAGTCACAACAGGCTCCAAAAGGCAGAAGCCGGGCTGTGAGGTGGGCAAAGAGACGGCATGGTCCCCAGCCCCTGCCAGTGCCCATGAAGGCAGGGGAGCATCTGCTTGCCCCCCAACCCCCAACTCGTTAACTCCATGTTCAGCAAAGTGGCCCACACTTTGTACCCACTCAGAAATGCCGGGTGAAAGAATGAGAGACCGTGGCAGAGAGCAGAACCAGACCGGCCCTAAGAAACCTTGAAGAGCCAGGCGCGTAAATGTCGTTGAGAGAGGGCACCGGTGCCAGGAGGGCTGCAATGGGCACCTTAGCTCCAGGGATCAGACTTGCCCTGTGATCCAATCTTCCCCTGGGTTTTGGGGCTGAGAGCGTGTTCTGCAGAGCAGCCGTTTCCAAAACAGATAAAAGATAAGGGAATTTCTCCATGAGCTTTTTGAAGCTCCCTCATGTTTATTTACTTACAAATCAGACATCTTATCTGCCCTATTGTGCTGACATATTCCGTACATGATCAGAGTTTAAAACCAGTCACCAGGAAGTTGGTTGACTTTGACTCATGGGGGCCCCTGTGTCGCACCTTGGGGTTCTCATAGCTGTGACCGTTTTTTTTTTTAATAAATCCTTTTACTGGGGGCTCTTACAACTCTTCTAATAACCCATGTAGCCACTGTATCGAGTACATTTGTATATATATTGCCAGCATCCTTTTCAAAACATTTTCTTTCTACTTGAGTCCTTGGTATTAGCTCCTCTTTTTTCCCTCCCTCCCCCACACTCCCACCCTCGTGACCCCTTGAAATATTATAAATTATTCTTAGTTTCATATCTTACACCATCCGCTGTCTCCCTTTCACCAACATTTCTGTTGTTCGTCCCCCTGGGGGGGGCGGGGGCGGATGTCATACGTCCACCGTTGCGTCCGGTTCCCCCTTTCTGATCAGTTGGTCATGGTTTTGACCTCGAGACTGAAGGAAGTCCTACGAGTGTTGGGTATGTGCCATCTCCGCTGTTTTCTCATTTTATTCGTGTGCTTGGGTTATTAGTGTTCACGCCCCACTGTTGCTTTCTGGCAATATCTAGAGTCACAAATACTTGTGGTGGGTTTATTTCACTGAAACCTGGCGAGCTGATCAGCACATCCAATTCTCGGGTGCACGCACAGCCCGAGAGGAACTCACAGACTGAGCGTCCACTTGGGCCCTCCCTCCACCTTGTGGCCTTTCCATTTCCCCAGAGGGGGCCCCATGACATTGGGGATCCCTGAATGTCCTAGATTCCCAGACAGAAACCCTCGGGATCCATCTGTATGCTAAAGATTGGCAAACATGTTGTTGCTCTCTTATTTTCTGAGGTAAACTCTAAATCTGATGGTTTCTTCCCACTCCCCAGCGAATCCACTTGGACACCATGGTGCCCGCTCTGTGTGAGGGGGCATGGCCCTGTGGCCCTTGCCCCCTCACCACTGTAACCCTCCCCCTGTGCTGTGGCCCCTCAGACATCTGGAGACAAGAAGCGATCCGGTCACAGTGACAGCAACGGCTTTGCCGGCCATGTCAACCTCCCCGACCTGGTACAGCAGAGCCATTCTCCAGCTGGAACCCCGACCGAGGGCATGGGGCGTGTGTCCACCCACTCCCAGGAGATGGACGCCGGGACTGAAGTAAGTGCTGGCCAGCAGGTGTGAGAGTCCTGTCCTGCTCCTGGGGTTCAGAAGCCCCGCTCTGGGCAAGAAAGAGTGGGGCTTGGCCAAGCTCCAGGAAGAGTTGGTCTGATTTCTACTTGCTAGGTATTAATACAGATCCCCCAGATGGAGGAAATCGTCGAAGCCAAGCGCTGACACGCTCTCAGATAGCATCTGGGCCAATTCCTGTTTTTAGAAGCAAGAACAGTTTGGTGATTCAAGCCCAAGGCCCAGAGGGACTTGGTGGCAAAGCTAGAACCTGAATTGGGACCTCCTGTCTGCCAGGCTAGTGAGCAGAACATCAGCCTGTAGAGAGTCAAGACCAAAGTTGAAAATCTGCACTGTCTTCAAAGCTAGTGTTTCATGGGGCTCACACACGTGGCATGTACACATGAGTAATTTTCTGAGGGAATTATTATAGGAAGGAAGGATTTTGAGAGCCAACACCGACCCACCCACCTCTCCAGGCCAGAGTGGAAGGTCCTGGAGG